ATAATCTTATCAATATATACAATGTATATATATATATATATATGTGAGTGGGCGTATTTGCTTTTTTTCTCAATTTGTTTTGTTTTTGTCCCTCTTTTGTTTAGATTTTCGTTTTTTCTTTTTGATTTGGTATATATAAATAAATATATACTAATGTTTTGGAATTCTCTTGTCGCTTGGTTTATTAAATTATTACAAACTAGTTTTGTTTTATTTAAACTATTGTTATTATTATGTGATTTATCTTTCATTATTTGTTTTTTTTCATTTCAAAATTAATTTCAATTCAATTACTTAAATATATACAGAGAAAGTCTTGATAGAAGGAAGGAGGAGGAGGAAAAGAAGGATAGATTTGGACAGAGGATATAGAAAGAGGGTCATAAATGTGGGGGTCTTCTTTGTTTTGTTTGTAACGTATTTGTGTATGTATGTTTTGTATTTAATTATATACATATATATATATATGTATTGTTTCTTCAATGATTGCTAGCTGATATTTATTGTATATGTAGATAGAATTCTATATATAAAAAAAAATTATATAAATTTTTGCTAAAAGCTTGTTATTTTTTCACATCAGTATTTTACAAAACAAGATTTGTTTTTTACCTTTTTATGTGGAATATCATAAAAATTCTTCAGAAAAAAATATTATTTAAATTTTTTTAATTCGCATATTTCGGTTTTCGAATTAAAAAAAAAACATAAAACTTTGTTAAAGCTTAAAGCTTCTTGGCAATAGGAAACCCATAACATATTCTCAAGTAAGATTAAGTATATCGTTTGAATTTAGAAGCAACTAGATTGGACTTTTTGAAAATTAGAAGAATCTTATGAGAAATAGCAACCCATTTTGATCCCATTGAGGAATAAGACATAGATTTCAAACTACAAACGATATACTTTCAATTACATGCAGCAATACTATAACAGTGGTTAAATAAAATTTTTAAATAATAGTTTTAAGAGTATTATGATAATTTTTTTAAGTAAAATGTTAAAAAAAGAAAAAAATTGGAACTCAAGATATTTGCTTTTTTGTTTTTCTAAAACAGATTACAATGCTTAATAATAATTATATTTATTTTTAAGGTTTTCTTTTGAGGACTTCTCAGAGGATTTTATGTAATATAAATAATAAATTATTTTAAATAATAAATAATTAATTTTAAAAAAATAAAATTTCAAATACAAAAAAATAAAATAAAATAAAAATATAAACATTCTTTAAAAAAAAAAAAACATTTTGTCACAACTAATATTTTTTTATAAAATATCATTTTTTATTTCAATGTTTCTTTAAGTAAAAGATTACTTAAAAGTAATTACTTTGTCGATAAAGAAAATATTTATAATTTTTTATTATAAATTTTGAGCCACAAAAAAATTATTTTAAAATAAAATAGTTTGAATAAAAATTTACAATTTATAATAACAACAAAAATATTTTCCTGTGGTATATGTTTGTAATCTTTTACTTTCCAAAAAGAATATTTTGAAAAAAAAATTAAAATAATTTATAATAAAGAATATTTTGTTTTATGAATACAATATTTGAAATCTTATAATTTCAATAAAAACAATATTCTGAATAAAGAAATGTAATATTTATATTATTTTTTTATGGTTTAAATATTTATAATCTTTTGTTTTCAATCAAATAAAAAATGTAATAATTATAATAAAAAGAAAAAATTAATGAAAAAATGTTCCGCATAAAAAAATAAATTATTTGAAAAAAAAGTACTTTTTATTTTTAAAATAAATTGAAAAATATTTGTATATTGATATTTTAAATTTTTTTATTTATATATTTTATTTTTTATAAAAATATTTTTTTTATTTTTCATTTATTTTATTTTTAATTTTTTTTCAAAAGAAGTCAAAAAATTATAATTTAATTTATTTTTTATTTATATATTTTATTTTATTTTTTATTTATATATTTTATATCTTATTTAATTATTTATTTTTTTCAAAAGAATTTTTTTTTCAAAAAATTATGATTTAATTTATTTTTTATTAAATTATTTATTTTATTTTTATTCTTTTTTTTCAAAAGAAGTTTTTATTCAAAAAATTATAATTTAATTTATTTTTTATATATATATTTTATTTTTACTAATTTTTTATATACTGTTTTAATTATATATTTTTTACTTATTTAATTATTTATTTTATTTTTTATTTTCAAAACAAATTTTTATTCAAAAAATTGTAATTTATGTTTCATTAAATTATTTATTTTATTTATATATTTTTTATTTAATTATTTATTTTATTTTTAATTTTTTTTCAAAAGAATTTTTTATTCAAAAGTTATAATTTAAGATATTTCTTATTTATTTTTTATCGTTTATTTATTTTTTTATTTATATTTTTGTAAAAATTTAAACAATATTTTTTATAAAGTAATATTTTATTAAAAAATGCATATATTTTAAAACTTTCTTGAAAACAAAATCTTTTTCCAAAAAAGTAAATTTTAAAATTTAATAAAAAATATGAAACAAGATTTTGTTCATTTGTAAATTAATACTTTTTCCCAAAAATATCATATTTTTCAATAAAACAAAATTGTTTTCATTTCAATTGTGTCTCATATTTTTTTTATTTTATTTATTTATTATTTTTTTATATATTTATAATTTTATTTATTTACTATTTTTTATTTCATTATTATTTATTTATTATTACTTATTATTTTCTAAAAACAACAATTTATTTTAAATTATTAAATATTTTATGAAAAAAATTTATACTTTTTTAAACTTTCTTTATAAAAATCTTTAAATTTAAAAAAAAACAGACAAGTTAATTTGAAAAATAATATTTTGTTCGTTGAAAATTAATACTTTTCCAGTAAAATATAATATTTTCCAATTAAATTGTATTCCATTTCGGTTTTATTTCATTTATTTATAATTTTGTTTTATTTATTTTTATCTTTATTTTATTTATTTTTAATTTTATTTATTTATTTTTAATTTTATTTTATTCATTTTTAATTTTATTTCATTTATTTTTATTTTTTTTTTATTTATTTATAATTTGGTTTATTTGCTACTTTGTTTATTTTGTTATTAAATTCATTTCACTCATTTATATTTTGTTTTTGTTAAAATATTTTTAAATGAAAAAAAAAATGATTTCAATTAAATTATGTTTTATTGCAGTTTTATTTAATTTATAATTTTTTTTTTTTTAATGTATAATTTTGTTATTTTTACCAATGTTTTTTATTTATTTTATTATTCTTATTATATTTATTTATAATTTGTTTTCACACTTACTTATTGTTTTATTTATTTATATTTTTGTTTATTTATTATTACATGTGTTTATTATATATTCGTTTATTTTATTTTATTCACAACAATTTTAAAATAATAAGTATTTTTCAGTAATTTTTTTTTATTTTATTATTTTTTGTTTTGTTATTTTTTATTTAATTATTTTTTATTTTATTAATTTTTGCTTGATTATTTTTTATTTTATTATTTTTTATTTCATAATTGTTTATTTAATTATTTTTTATTTTATTATTTTTTATTCTATTATTTTTTATTAAATTATTTTTTTATTATTTTTATTATATTATTTTTAATTTAATTATTTTTTATTTTATAAATTTTTTGTTTCATTTATATATTGTTCAATTTATTTATTTTTTATTCAGTCATTAGTTTTTTATTATTTTATTTTTTTTAATTACTTTTAATTTTTATTCTACTATTTTTTATTTAATTATTTTTTTATTATTTTATTTTTAATTTAATTATTTTTTATTTTATTACTTTTTATTTTATTATTTTTTATTTTATTATTTTTCATTTTATTTTTTTTTATTATTTTTTTTTTATTTTATTATTTTTTATTTTATCATTTAATTAATTATTTTTTATTTATTTATTTTATTATTTAATTATTTTTTATTTATTATTTAATTAATTAATTTTTTATTTTATTAATTTTTAATTAATTTATTTTTTATTTTATTATTTTTTATTTAATTATTTTTTATTATTTTATTTTTAACTTAATTATTTTTTATTTTATTATTTTTCATTTTATTATTTTCTATTTTATTATTTTTTTTATTTTATTATTTTTTTTATTTTATTATTTTTTATTTTATCATTTAATTAATTAATTTTTATTTATTTATTTTATTATTTAATTATCTTTTTATTTATAGTTTTTATTTAATTAATTTTATTATTTTTTATTTTATCATTTAATTAATTATTTTTTAAATTATTTTTTATTTATTTCTTTTTCCTTATTATTTAATTATTTTTTTATTTAATATTTGTATTTAATTAATTAATTTTTAATTTTATTAATTTTTGTTTAATTTTTTTTTATTTTATTTTATTATTTTTATTACACTATTTTTAATTTAATTATTTTTTATTTTATAAATTTTTTGTTTCATTTATATTTTGTTTAATTCATTTATTTTTTATTCAGTCATTAGTTTTATATTATTTTATATATTTAATTTTATTATTTTTTATTTTATTACTTTTTAACTTAATTATTTTTTATTCTATTATTTTTTATTTAATTATTTTTTTATTTTAATTTTTTTTTATTGTATTATTTTTCATTTAATTATTTTTTATTTTTTAATCTTTATTTTATTATTTGTTATTTTATTATTTTTCATTTTATAATTTTTTTTTTATTTTATTATTTTTTATTTAATTATTTTTTATTTTATTATTTTTTATTTAATTGTTTTTTATCTTATAAATTTTATGTTTCATTTATATATTGTTTAATTTATTTATTTTTTATTCAGACATTAGTTTTTTATTATTTTATTTAATATTTTATTTTGTTTATTTAATTTGTTGTCTTTTGTAAAAAAAAATGAATTGTCTTCAACGAATTCCATTTTAAAATGACACGTCCGTCCAACGGAGCTTCGGTAACACAACCGGATCCTATTCAATCAAGAAAAAAATGGCCAAAAAGTAAAATACCGCAAATTTCAATTATTATTTCTTTTTAAAATAAACAAATACACATTTGTTTCAATTTATTATATCATTACTATAATTGCACTAAATCATTAGAATACAGTTTTAAAAAAAATGTTCAAAAGTTGTCTAAAAATTAAAATCATCTTTGTACAGTCCTCCGAATAAAACCTTAAAAATAAATTCAGTATTATTTTTACATTGTAGCTGATTTAAATTAGAAAAATAAAAATAATAATAAAGAAAACATTGCATCAAATGCAATTCTTATATATAATCTTGAGTTCACTTCTAATAAAAAAAAATAGGGATACAAATCATTATAAATACACAAAGTAAAGCTATGCTCAGTTTCGACAAAGATCTCAATTTAAAAAAAAGGACAACAAAAACTACTTTCTTCTTTTTTTCAATCCTCAATTTTAAGTTGTAGGGGAAAAATAAATGAAGCATTTTTAACCCACCATAAAATGATGATGTTTTCAAAAATCAAAATGTCTCAAAATTAAGCACACTTTCCTGGCATCTATAATGATCATAATTTAAAAATTAATAAGAAATATATATATATATATTTTCAATTCCACACAATCCTTTTCTTTTTTTTCTCTCTCTATCTCTCATACACACAACAACATTTGAAACAAAAATAAATTAATTAAAAAACAATATCAAAATAATTTATACAAAACAACACATCACTCTCATACCTTTGGGCAGGCAGGGTGGATGGGCGAGGGGACGCATAGGGCGAGGCAGAAGGAGTTTTTCTTATGGATTGGGGTGGGGGTTTCATTTCACAATTCTATGTTTTATATACATGGGGGGGTATGTGTGTGTGTTTTTTGTTTTAGTTTAGGCATCTAGAGCCTAATATTCTAAGACTTAAAATATATTAACAATTTGGAATAGAGAATTCATCTAAGTGACGATGACGATGATGGTTGGTCGGTTGGTTGGTTGCTTTGTTGGTTGGTTCGTTCTTCATTTGTTCCTCCACATAATGGGCACTTTGGGTTTCCGGGCTAGTTGGCTGGCTGTCATCTGTTACCCTTTAACGCCTTCATCATCTAACCTCACAGTCCTTGGGTAGTGATATAATACCACCACCATTGGAACTATTACCGCCACCACCACCACTACTACTGCCACCGCTGTTGTTACTGTTGCTGTTATTGTTACTGTGGTGATGCTGATGCTGCTGCTGCAGATTTTTGCCACCAGCTGTATTGCTCATCATTGAATTGGAATTTGAATGGCTCAGATGAGTATGACTACTAAGGGCCGATGATGACTGACTATTGCTATTATCATTGCAATGTGCACCACCCCCACCACCTGCAGCTGCCAATATTGATCCTTGATGCATTGGTGTGGGCGTAATGACCGGCGATCTATTGGCATCCATGTTAGGTCCATTCGGATCATGCATGGAACTTGCCGTATTCGATGAATCGATCACCAGACACGGCGAAGGTGTACTCGAATCTTTGGCCACATCCGATTCGGCTCGCAACATCAGTGAAGAGGCGGGTGGTTCATTGCTATAATGACTGTAGGTGGCCACATGCGGTGAATTCATACTGGCACTTGCATTGGCATCCTCGGCGAATTTGGCAAAATCTGTGCTGGTATTGGTATGCGGCACGACCAGGGTTGTGTGCGACGACGACGACATAGGTTGGTGCATTGCTGAACTGGTATTCGAGTTGGTGTTGGTTGTTGTCAGCTCTTCTGTGGAGGCGGGGGAGATATTTTTCTTGCCTTTTTTACGTTTCTTATCGCCGATCACATAGACTCCACCATCGGAAACACGTGCCAATTTAAGGCGTATGGGGGCTGCAGGTGGTTCATCCACTGGATTGGCGGCACCCGACTGGCCGCCGGCATTGAGCCCGGTGGCCGGTGATGAGAGGCTGGTATCTGTGGCTGTGGACTCGGCCTTACGTTTATTGATGCGCAATATCAACTTTGGCGGATCTCCTGGAGAGGCACTAATCGGTTGCTCGATCAGTGTTGTGGTCATGCTATTGCTGTTGAGACCGCCACCGAATATGAGACTGGCATTGTCATCAGTGTCCCCCCGATTTTTGTGACGTTTCTTCTCCTTTTTATCCTTTTTGGGTTTTGATGATTTCGCCTTCTTGGCCGGCGGTGGGGGACTGACTTCGGCATAGGACTTCAAGGCACCAACATTACTGGCCGAACGTCTGCTACGTTCCTCTTCATCGCCGCCGAACTCCTGCATTACCTGATCACGATAGTTCATCGAGTCGCGCATCAATGCCTCCAGTGTGGGCGTGTAATTGGAGGTGAGTCGTTTCTTGGGTGGACAGGCCACGGAACGCCTTGAGACTTCGTGGCTGTTAAAACTAGTCTCACAACTACCGACTGTGGCCGTGGCACTGACATTGCCGTCGCCTCCGCCCAGTCCTCGAATTTTGATCTTTAGCTTGGGAGCAGGTTCCTCGTCAGCTCCTTCGACAGTCTTGCTGCGGCCTCGTCGTTTACCCGCACTACCCGCTGCCCCCGATTTACCACTGTTCTCTGTGCTACCCGATGAGCAGGCACTACGTCTACGACCATCCACTCCCGATGATAGGCCCAGCGAATTTAAATCACCCTCGCCCGCCATCGAATCCAGGGAACGTAATTCCCGACTAGATGTTTTCTTAAATCTCTTACTAGACGTAGCCGTCGTGGTCATTCCTCCAGCTGCCTCCGATCCGTATTCATCCACTTCGCTGCAAACACTATCCGTCTTGCGTGTCACCTCCATAGAATTGGACATAAGACTAGAGTCGGTTGGAGGCAGGCCGCAGGAGGAATCATCACCATTATTGTCCTTTTGCACAACATATAAACTAAGCAGTTCCTTCTTGCGCATACGACGGGAGTTGGTGCCACTGCCACTAACGGAGGCACTTATAACCGTGGTGGCCGACACCATGGACTGGACATTGCTCATACTCGCCTGAGCTGCCGTCGAGGAATGGGTCAGAGTTGAGGAACTATTGTACATATCAGGATATGCCAGGGGACCTTTAATTTTCAACTTCAATTGATTTTTGGCATCGGACAATGAGGCTTTGGTGGTCAAGGTGGTATCGGAGTCTATGGACACATCTTCAGAGGTGGTTTCCATTGAGGTTTGCAAATCGTTGACCAGTTCCGCCGAACATATGGTGGTAGTTGTGGTCGAGGTGAGATTTGAGGTGGTGGTATTCACGCTGCCGCTGCTCAGTTCAAGTCCAGAGCCCACACCCACTGCTGAGGCGACGACAGAGGAGGCCGATGTAGCACAAATAGCTGATGTCTGTAATGTTTCTGTATAGGTGGTGTTGGCTATGAGACTGAGGGCTGCCGCCGCCGCCGTCGACACGTTACCCGTTATTGTTGCTCCTCCCGTTGCCTTTAGGCTATTGGAATCCATGCTGTTATTGCCAGTAAGCAAGGATGAGTTTGAGGCTGTAACAGGAACTGTATTGGCAGTCGAGGCAGGGGTTGTTATTGGCGCAGGTTTCTGTGTGTTCATTGATGTTGTGGTTCCGGTGGCCCGCAGAGCCGATTGGAATTCCCGTTCGTCTTCTTCGTCAAACTCCGACAATGTCTGATCAGCCGTGCCCGAATCAAAAGCTCCCAACAAATTCTTGTTGTATGCTTCTTGTGAGGCACTGGAATGTTGTGGTTCGAATGCAAGATTATAGGTGCGCATGTCCACAGGTCCTGGCATGATGGGCGGTACTATACTGTGCAGATTGGAACTGTTGCTGGAGCTCTTCAAAGAGCTGCCACAGTTCACCAACGATGATGTGTCATTGCCCGTGGCATTAGCATTCGAGGCGGATGGGACAGTTGTCTGGGAATTGCCCGTTGTTCCGGGCGGCATAATACTGCTGTTGCCACCTCTAACCTTATAGCCAGGACTACGATATTTTTGGGTATCCGTATTGTGGGCATTGCGGCAATCGAATGAACGTCTACGATCTCGTAGGGATTGTAGATTTTCCATACCAGGTGTGGCCATTTCCTCTTCATAGCTGAACTCAAAGGGTGTTCCAACCAAATTGTCGGAGCTCACATAATCGTTCATGGTCAATGGCAATGTGGGTATAATGGAATTGGCAACGCTGGCGCCACGACCCCGGCCCCTTCCTCGACCTCGACCCCGCGATCCGGCACCCGTACCACGTGGTGCCCTTTGCCTTGGTTTACCCGCCAAGGTATGGGTCATAAGATCATATTTGGGTGCTTTTGTTGTGGTGCTGCTTGCTGTCGAGTATTCCTGGCCCAGGGCGGCATGTTGTTGTTGTTGTTGCTGCTGCTGCTGCTGCTGCTGCTGTTGTAATTGTTTGCTCAACAATTCCATTTGACGCGGTGACTTGCCGGGCGATTTGTGTTGACCAATTTGTGGGGATTTATGTGAGTTCCGTGGATGCTGTTGTTGGGCACCCTGTTGATTGTAGCGGGACGATGAGCGACTGCCCTTGGAGGGAGAATCGCCCTTGGTGGGTGTGGTATGAGTGGAAGATGGGTGCTGCTGCTGCTGTTGGTTTGGCGTAAGCATACCTTCCGGCCCACAGCTGTTCATGTGCAGATTATTAAAAGGCCCCGGCGGCACACCGACATTCACATTGCTGGGCGATGTTAGATTGAATTGTTGTTGCTGCTGAGCAGCTGCCTGCATTTGATGATGGTGATGATGCTGCTGTTGACGCGGCGAATTATGATCGAGTAGACTACCAGGTCCCGAGACTCCAACAATTGCTGCGGTCAAGGCAAGATTATGTGTGGAAGACGTGAAAGCGGCCCCGCCATACTGTCCGGCAGAAGTATTTGCTGGGCCAAGGGCTGCAGTGGTGTTGGATGCTGTACCGAAGATATCATTGGTAGGACGTGACTGTTGCTGCTGCTGCTGTTGTTGAGCACCTGTTCCCGGTCCAGCGGGATACATAACACCAGCATTATTGGCTGAAGCAAACGGCATTTGATTCATGCCTGACATGTTGGCCGCCGTCGCAGCGGCAGTGTTGTCATGAAACATTCCAGTTACGGAACCATTATACTGTTGGCTAGCAGATGGAATATTGGTAGCCATTTGTTGCTGTGGAGTGGTTTGACTAGTGGGTGTTCTGCCAGGTGTTGTATTGTATCCCTGCTGGCCATACATCATGGAATCAATGCCATTAACCATGGGTGATTGCTGCTGTTGGGAGTGCTGTTGTTGCTGCTGCTGTTGTTGTTGGCCATAGTTTGTAGATGCGAGGCCAAAATTATTGAGGGCATTAAAGAAACTATTTTTACAATTTGGCGAGGAATTGGTTACACCCTGCATGGCATTGTTCATGGCGTTATTGGCATTGCCTTGCAACATATTGGGGCCAATGGGACCCCCCTGTTGCTGTTGTTGTTGCATGTGAGGACTTTGCTGAATGTGACCACCGCTGCCAGACATTTGATGTTGCTGCTGTAGCGGTGTGTGCTGCTGCTGCTGAGAGGTTTGCTGTAAATCTAATGTTGGAGCCTGATCGTTGGATTCGGAAACGGAACTGGGGGATGTTGAACGCCTGGCAGCTATCAAATCATTTTCATTCCACATACGGGTGCCCTGCATGGTGTAGGGTGATTGCATGCGTGTGTTTTCATCGAAATCGCAGTCCACCACCAATTTGTTGCTGCCCACCGATGCTGAGCTGGTGAAATCGAGATTGTCCTTAGCGGCTGCCGTGGCGGCAGCATGTAAGTCCACAAAGTCTGGCGTCGCGCTAGCTGTGGTCAGAGAATTTGAGCCGGAAGACATTCTATTTGAACTGTGTATTGATGACTGCTGTTGTTGTTGCTGCTGCTGTTGAGTGGATTGTTTTTGTCCAAAACTTTCAATGCCCAGCGATTTGCCAAGCGTGGAACAGGCCAATTCCTTTTGCATGAGCGATGTAAGCTCGGCCACATTGGAGGAAGTCTGTTGTTGCTGCTGCTGGTTGGGTGTAAGTGGTGTTTGTTGTTGATTATAATTTGAGTTGGGAGTGGTGCCCGCCTGGCCAGGCATATGATGTGTGGGTGTGTGTTGTTGCATGGGCGATATGGGAGTCATTTGAGGTGTCCTCTGCTGCTGCTGCTGTTGTTGCGGTGTTGGTGGTTGCTGCAATTCATTGCCATTACCCTCTAGATAATTCAAGGCATTGCTAGGTAATTGCGGCATTTGACCAGGCGTATTGGCCTCCGGAACACTTGTGCTTAAACTTCCGAATAGACTTAGGCCCGTATCCTTATTTGAGGATGCTGCCGCAGACATAACCGCCGAATTATTAACCCCACCTGGTGTACCGGTATTTGGCGAGGAACCAATCACCTGTTGCATATTATTGCCGGCTACCCCGTCCAGAGGGCCTGCCGCTGTTTGCTGTGCTCCAGCATCTGGGAAATGTGTATCCAAACCAGACAAGGCATTCTCTTTCTGCACATGAATAATATCCTCAGGATCAGCGGCATTGTGAAAGGGAAACACCGATGGTATGGCTGGCGTGGGTGGTGGCAACATGAGATCTGGCTCTTTGGGATCTTCATTGCGACTGCGTTTGGTTTTCCTTAGCTTTTCCAATAGGTTCATTGTGGCCTGGCTACTATCCTCGGCTGTCAATTCCTTGCCACCTCCCGTCAGGAGGCTTGTCAGACTTTCGCCCACCTGGCCCACGCTGTGACTGCCAAAGTTAAGCAGATCATTGGCGGAGAAACCAAGTGTGGGCGGTTTGTCTTGTTGTTTCTTTTGGGCATTGTCCTCCAAATCGAGTATGGTGTCCACAATGGGGTGGTGGGCACTTTCAAGGACAGAGTTTGCCACCGTTGGATTCAGTGTGTTGTTGGCATTGTTGTTGTTGATAGTTGTGGGTAGGTCCAGATTGGAGGTTTGCAGCAATGACAAAGCAGACGGTGTTGTTGGTGTGGCATTGGAAACAGGTGTTGGAGGAATTTGAGATTCTTTTAGCAGATTTACATCAGGAATCACCAAAGAACTGGCCGCTGCTTTGGGTGGGGTGTCTACCGCCGATTTTGCCACAGTCTCTGCAGATGTGGGCATCAACTCTTTTGGTGTGGCCGTTGCTGATACACCTTCCGCCGAATTGGAATTTGAATCCAGATCTATGATTTCTGGTGGCTCTGGCGCAATAACCGCCGGCGAAGATGAAGATGCTGAATACTTGGCACTATTGGCATTGGCAGCAGCCAATTCATTTTTACGCTCCTCTTCCAGTGCCCTGACCAATTCCATTTCGTTCAACAGATGCTGTGTATGATGGGTATGTTCTTCCTCGGCCAACATGGGCGGACTGCCGGGTCGTGTACGCCTTCGTCGGTTGCGAACTTTACGTTTGCGTTGCGATTTATTTTCCTCATCACTGGCATTGGACATTTCATCATCTGTCGAAGATGATGAGGATGTTGACGACGACGAATGGTGGAGGTGGTGGTGTGCAGGTGGCGGTGAGGCAGGCATTGGTGCGGCTGGCGGACGATCATCTAAATCGACTAGATCATCAAGTTTAGCGGGTGAACGATTGGCAGCGCCTGGTGGCAAGGCGGTGTTTGTGGGAGCCGTAGTTAGCTCCTCATCAATGTCCATGGGTACCTCGGAACATTCGTCGGAACAAACGACGCTGGCAGCAGTTGGTCTTTCAGAAGGTATGTCACCTCTTGTGTTTCCGCTCTCATCAGCAGCCTTGTCCGTCGCCAGAAGACTGTTCCTTTGCTGTCCATCATCAATGCTCTGTTCTGGCTCAGCTTTCTTTTCTTTATCAATGATTTCGATATCATTTTCTGCTAGATTTGTGGGAGGTGGAGGAGGAGTTTCTGTCACTGACTGGCTGGGTTTCTCGGAACGTTTATCTATAAGCGATTCCATTGCTCCAGTTTGTTGGGATTCTGTGATTTTATCGTGGACTAGGTCCAATTGCGTATCATATGTTTCCGAAGTTCTCGTATCTGCTAATTTTGCTGTTGTTGTTGGCGTTGGAGCCTCCGGCTGTGTAGATAGCTCATCTTGTTTGGGATGGTCATGTACGGCAGGGGAGGGACTAGATAGAGTTGATGAAGATGCTGTTTTCAAAGGCGAAGATGATGACAAGTCGTTGGACTTTAGGGAAGGTGATGTTGGTGTTGTTGGTACTGCACTTGTATCCATGGCCACCGCCATCATATCGGATGCCAGTTTCTTGTCCAAATTAAGCTGCTTAAGGGCCCTTTCCTCTTCCTGCAGAGCTGATTTGCGTCGCGTCTGTATGCTGCTGGTATTTGTGTCCGACAGTTGCTGATCATCGCCGCTGTTTGTAGCCAGGCTACTTGTGCTTGTCGTGCTGGTATTACGTCTAAGCTGCTTTTGTGGTGACACTTTGGGTGATGACTTGGGCGTGGAAGGTGGAGGTAATGTAGCCGCCGTCACAGGTGTGGCAATGGATTCCGCCGCCGTTTGCCTGCTGTCCAATGACTTTCGAAGATTCCGTTTGGCCGAAACTGCTGTTGGTGTTGCGGTTGCTGCTGCTGCTGCTGCCGGTCGCTTAGACGCCGTTTCTTTTTCTTCAGGTTCGCTGGCCTCATCATCTGACGAGGAAGTGGTATAACTACTATCGGTATTGCTAGAACTGTCTTCACTTCCATCGGAAGATGAAGAGGAGGAACTTGTATCACTGCCCGAACTGGATGTAACGGAAATTTTTCGCTTTTTATCCAGGCTTGGCACACGTTTGGGAGTTGTACTGGACGTCGTCGTCCCGGTCGCTGCTGTCGCTGGTGTCTCGGGTGCCGTTGTTGCCGTACTTTGTGGCACGGTAGGTATAGCACTAATGTTCTCGTCTTTGGAACGCCTTCTGTTATTATTATTCGTTTTGTTAGGGGTGGCTGGAGACAATATGGGAGCTTTAGCTGCAACTGAATCTGTAGGCAATTCTCCAATAGATACCGGAGGAACTAAAACTGCTGAAGGAGATGCTGGGGGAGGGGCAGCTGGAGTTTTCACTGAGGGGGAAATGCTCGCTAGCCTTGTTGGCGTTGTGTCTTTTGTTTTTGACGGCGTTGAAAGAGCAGATAAAGAGTCCTGCTTTTCTTTGCCAGCAAGCGTGGAATCTCGTACTGACATTCGCCGCGTTGGCATGGATTTGGTTTGGCGATTTTCTGGTGTTTTCAATTTGGAATCCTTTTCACTGCTACTCAAACGGTCCTTATCTTCCATTGCCGCCGTTGATGTTGTCGCTGATACATCCGCATTGGTCACCAAAGGCTTTATGCTATTCTTAAGCTGTTCCGCAGCTTTCTTTGCCGCCTGCCGTTGTGGAACATAGGCGACAAGAATATTCGATTTGATGGTGTCGTTCGTTGTTGAATTTGCTGCTGCTGCAGGTTTCTGGGCCGGCGAGGGAGGTTGTGATGCCTTTTCTGTAGCTGGGGATGATTTGGCGCTATTTTGTGGTTCATTTACTGCTGTTGCTGCTGCTGCTGGAGTGGAGGAGGAAGAGGATGAGCTTTTCTTTGCCTCCGCTTCAACTTTGGTTGATGCTGCTAATTGATCCTTTGTTGCACGGGTTGTGGACGTTGATGATTGACTAGTATTGTTAGTATCGTTCGACGACAACGTCGTCGTCACATTGTCTTTTAGATTCTTTGGAGGACGACCACGTTTATTGGCACTTGGTTTTTCATCCGTTCTACTGGCACTGCCCCCCTTAGATTTGTCCGCTTTATCATCCGATGAGGATTTCGGAACATCACTACCACCGCCACGTTGCGTTTTGGCACTTACATCACGCGACTTTAGATCCGACGATGAGTCACGCTGTTGACTGCTCGCACTGGATGATATCGAACTTGAGGAAGACGCTGCCACCACAGCACCTGTGGAACGCATGTTTTCCGATGCCTTCTTTGCCGCTTGCCGCTGAGGCACAACCAGTAAATCGGCCGGAAACTTAAGTTGTTTTTCCATATCCAAGGAAGAAGTGCTAGTTCGTTTATTGCCCTCCGTCGTGGAGGAGGACGATTTTTCACCTTTGTCCTTGCCTTTGGATGCAGCACTTGTTGTGCTTTTCGTCGCAGATTTCGCCGTTGTTAATGTGGCATTGCTGTCTTTCTGTATTTTAGCACAAGTTTGTTGTTGCAGTGTAAACTCCTTCATTGCCGCCTTCGTTCGTATCGTTTGCTGATTCTGAGAATCGCTAACATTACTCTCGGCTGTGCGTTCCTCCTCCTTGTCCTTGTTGTTGTCAGACGACCCCAAAGAGCTGTCATCGGAATCTGAATAGATTTGCTCAATGGCTTTGCGGTTGCCGGGATTTCTGGATTTTTGTTGTGCGCCACTTTCATTTCCAGCAGTGGAACTAGGAGCGGCCAATGCTTTCCTATTCTTCTTAGCAGGTATTAACTCCAGACTTTCATCACTTGACGAGGACGCCGACGAAGATGAGGTGGACGACGAATTGGCCTCGTCTTCTTGTTCCTTTTTTGTTCGACTTGTTGCTGGCGTCTTGTTGTTCAACGCAGCAGATGGTTGTACCGCTCCTGTTTGGTTTTTATCTGTTTGTTGTTGTTGTTGTTGTGATTTATTGTTGACAGGTACTGACGATGATGATTTATTTTTCTTGGCCGTCTCAGCTTCATTCTCCACATCGCTGGAACTGGAAAGCACGGTTGTTATATCAGAAGAAGTTTTACCCTCACCACTGCGATTGGCTTTTGTATTGGCTGGTACCGACGTAGCCCCAGCGGCATTGCCGGACTTATTTTCCTTAGATTCATGCGGCGTCACAGTTTCTGGAGCTGCCGTACTCTTTCTTCTTTGTTTGGCTCTCATTTCCAGCGAACGTGTATAGCTTTCACGTTTATTTTGCAGCACCTTCTTTGGAGCTGATGATTTGCCACCAGCCCGGGGCGATTTCTCATCACAACTTGAAGATGATGTGGCGGATTCTGTTGAACTTGTAGCACTTTCAGATCCAGAAGAACTGCCGCTACCCGACGACGAACCATTGTCGGAAGAGGAATCATCGTCGTCATCTGATGATGAACTACCCGAAGAACTGGAACTATCATCGGAGCTTTTGGAGGCAGATTGCTTGCTAGATTTTGTTGGAGTTCTGGTATTGCTTAGACGGGGCCGCGTACTGGAGCCTCCAGATGTGATATTTGATGCTGCTGGTTTTGAGGTTTTATCAAGGCCGGTAGAGCTGCGCCGCCTGTTGTTTGTGTTAAGCGAACCTTTCTCTCCTGCTGTTGGAATATTTGTTGAAGCCTTTGCCCCCACCGATACAGCACCATTGTTAACTTTTTTGTTGGCAGGCGATTTCGTCGTTGATGCTGACGCTGATGTTGATGTTGACGCCGTTACAGAGGAGGAATTTTGTTGCGCAGTTGATGTTGATGTTGTTCCTGAGGTACTCGCACCTGATGATGACTTATTTAAACGCTTTGTCGGCGAAGTGGAAGCTCTACTATGCTGTGACGTTGACGTCGTCGCCGTCGACGACGTTTTGTTCGAACTTTTTGGTCCATTCTTATTTGTGGTTGCATTGCCCAGCAGTTTCTCCAGAATATATTCTAAGCTTTGGTACTGTGTGTTCTGGTGTTTACTACGATCACCGGAAGAATAGAAGCGATCATAAAGCGTTGGTCCGTCATTTGCATAAATGACAGCATTCTTAAATTGTTCATCACTTGGCTCGTTCTGGTCGCGTGCCCTTTGATTATCCTCAGTTAGCACCGAGATTTGTTTGTAGAAAACTTGTTCCCGTAATTTGAACAGAGAGCGAGAAAGTTTCTCACGTCGACTAACCATGTAACAAAGATTACGTACACGCTCCAAGTCTTGGCGCAGATGGACAACTAATTTGTGATTTTCAATGTCCTGTTGTTCCTGTTTGCGGGCAATCATTTCAACATCTTCTGACTTGGGCGGTATGAGGGCACGATTATTTCGAGATTTCCTCTTCAACTTCCAGTAATTGTAGATGGCTTCAATTGCTTCGTCGTCGACATCGAAGAGATGGCAGCTGATATCCTTAATATTGACATGTTTGTCAAATTCCGATTCAACCTCCTGCAAATTAAACAAAAACGTATACATATTTGTTAAATATGGAATTATCATTCAATTTCTTTTCCAACTCACCTGTAATCTTCTTGCTCGGACCTGATTGCGTTCTTCTGAGGTCATATCCGATTTACGACTCTTACGCCTTCGACAATCATCATCTTCTGTGCCCGAACCACCATTGCTATTGCCCAATTTGTTTTTACAGTTTCCACTGCTTGAGCTGCCCTTGTTGGCCTCCTTTTTACCCTTGCTAACACTGTGTTTGTGACAATATGAACGCAATTTAACGCCATCTTCTGCGTTACCCTCCTCAATGATGGCCCGCATTTCCAGGCCATGTTGAAAAGCACATGTAACATGATATGCCGTCTTACAGGTCTTCACCGAACACTGTATACAGGCGCCCACTCGGCCTCGACACAGTACGCACACCAAAGACCATCTGCTTTGTGGAATGCTGGATATTTTCGTTATGGGTTCCATACGATCAACACACCCAATACTGACTTCTGGTATCCAAAGGGCGCAAGAAACATGCGCCCAATGTTTGCCCGATTTTGTTGATTTCATTGCACCTCCTTTGTTCGGACATAATACACAGTCCGGTTTAATGCCCATCGAACAGGTTCGACATAGCCATTGGCCTACGAATGGCGAAAAAAGGGAAATCAAACAAATGTAGAAATACAAATGGTAAAATTAACTACTCACCCGATGGTATGGCTGTTATGCCATAACAAGCCTGATGCACACAAATATTGCAGTTATCACAGAAAACCATTTCATTAGCTTCCTCCGAATCAGGAGATCGACAAACATCGCATATGACATTTTCATCATATTCAATACCCAAACCCTCTTCATTCTTTAATATAACCTGAATTTGTTCCCAACATCGAACCTGCAATGGAAGTCATTTAAATAATTGGAAAATAATTGGAAAATAAAGTATTGACACATACCTCCAGTTCTTCGATAACACGCTCAAATTGAGTTTCACTTATGGCAAAGGGAGCACCATATTGTGCACGATCGGCATTGTATAATTTAAGCCATGATTCATCGACTTGATCAATGTCATAGGAGCAGGAATTTTCAGCTAAAGCAACAACATTTGTTAGATAATGTAACTCCGTTGAGTAAGCATCGTCTTTGGTTATGCGCAGGAAGCGGTTTTTTGGACTGCGAGGGAGGAGAAAAACAGAGCACATTAATGTTGTTGTTGATAGATTCTGACACATGCATAGATGGAAAAGTTTCATTCGATGTTTCAAGGAACTTTTCCAAATTAATGCGTTTTTTTCTTTTGAAGTTCTAATCATCTATCCACTTACAGTTTAAAGTCATGAGCGGGTGGCACTATAGGTTCAGTCAACACTTCAACATACGGTTCAGGCAAGGAATCTGGGTTAACTGGTACTTGAACACCACGTTCCCATTCTTGTTTCCATTGATCGGTTACCACTAGATATTCATAGTTGGCCAGTTGTTCAGAATCTGGTAATTTCATTGCGCTTATGAGATCCTTGCTGTAAATGTAAGAAGAAATGGAAGCGATTAGTATTTTTTCAAATTTCGAGGGATATTGAACATTACCGATAAAGCTCTGCTGGTGCTTCGGTTGAACTCCGATTATATATACTAGACATTTTAATGTCAGACACCGATCTTGCCTGCCACGCTGCGGCCGATGATGAACAACCGGCTTGTATGGCCCCCATTGCTTTAGAGCTTGTGGAACACATGGCTGAATCATCAACACCACCTGCTGCTGCTGATGCGCTTGATGTTGAAGCATGTGCTTTGGCTGTTGCTGCTGTTGGATTGTCGGTATCAATTTGTGTGGTATTGGTTGTTGTATTGCTTGATATTAATGCACTATTACAGCTGGTACTGCCACCAGCATTGAAGGCAGGATTATAGGTTGGCGGGATAAGTCCGTGCCCACCAGGGCCGCCACCACTACCACCGCCACCAACATTGCTGCCACTACTGCCAGCCACAACACCTCCACCACCACCGCCGCCACCACTATTGGGTGGCCGCCCTTTACGTCTTTTTGTGGGTGGTGGCTGTGGTTCAACATCAAGTCTTGGATGATGCAAATGATTGCCGCGTTTACCTCTTTGTGACATAATTCCAGTGATTTAAACAGCGGCAAACACATGTATTGTGACTTCTTCGTTGTTTCCTTTCCTTAATAAAATTATTAATATTGTTTCTTGCTTCTGTTTGCTTTTCGCCTAAGCAAAAATCGACCACAAAGTAATGTTTGTAGTTTGTGTATGTGTGTGTGTGAGAGCTTAGAAAAAGTTGGTCAGATTGTAATACTCCACTCCAACTCCTGGGCTGCTTCTGCTTCTTCTTGATTTTGTTTTTCTTCTTGTGATATATAGATTGTTGATTGGTTATTTTATGTTATATATTTTTTTGTTTATTTTAGAGTTAATATTGCTTAATGTCCTGAAAAAAAAATTTACATCGTTAAGAAATCGCCAATTCCTTATTTCCATATAGGTATCTACTTACTACATATTTATAAAGAAGATTGGGTCAACATCAAATATCATCAAGTCGTTGAGAATAGCAGGAGGGAGGGAGTCAATTTGGGGGGAGAGTTCAATGCTATGCACCCGCACACACGGCATTGACATAAAGCTCGTAGAGTCTTTGTGAGTATGTCAAATTCCAATGTTATTAATGCCAAAGAAATTAATACTTGGTTTTTTTTGGAGTATTTCGTTCTTCTTCACTTGTGTTTTTCGTTTTTCGTCTTCTTTTATGTTGTTGTGGAATTATAATTACTTTTGACGGGTTTAGTTAAGATTGGTTGGTTGGTTGGTTAGTTTGATTATTGATGCGATTTGCTGCTGCTGCTTCTGCTGTAAGGTGGTTGTTTCATTTGACGGTGCAATTGTGCGCAAAGGCGTGTGCTTCAGATTCTAATAATATTTATGTGTTTCTTCTTAAGACGTCAAAAAAAATGTTCTTTTCGTTCAAGGCATTACAATTCCTTTTGGAAAAATTTATAATTCTTAGCTGCTTTTCCTACAAAAAAAAAGGAAAACAATAGAACAATTTGCAGAAGAATGTTGTATATTAGTTGGGAGACGATATCCGTAGTGGATTTTTGTATTTCTACGTTTCTTAATTGTTGTATTTTTAAACAGACTTTCTTTTCTATTGTTTCTTGTGTGTGTCGTTTCGTTTTTTTCTTTGCTCTTTTTTGCTTTGCAATTTCCGCCTTCTTGTTCTGTGTGCACTACCAATATTCATCGCCGACGCCGTCGTTGTTGTCGTCGACGTCGTTGTCCATTCCCACAAATGATTTTGTGTGTATATTTTGTACAGAGAATGTTTGCACTAGTGTCAGTTTCATTCACAATAGAGTTGATTGTGTTTTTTCACTTTTTCTCCTCTTTTACTTTGATGAAATTCGGTACAAAACAAATTGTTGTTGTTGTTAACCTGGTACCATTTTATCAAATTGCACATAAAAATAATTGCTATTCATTATTTAATAGCCACAAAATAAACAATTTAATCATTTCATCATTTCACAGATAATTCACAATAATGAGTTAATGCACTCTTCTTCTTCATTTGCAATTGGCTCTTCGCCGTCATTCTTGTTTCTTTTTCGCCACAAATCACATTAGGTCTTCTTTATTGTCGTGAAAAAAAAAGAACTGTGGGGGGAGGGAAAATGGAGAACAAACCCACGAAGAAGAAGAAGAAGCAAAATAAATGTCTTAAATAGAGAACACAATATACAATTTGAGCAAGGAGGAATTTCGCAACGAAAACTTCTGTTTATTTAGAATTTAATGGTTTCCAGCCTTTTGTTAAACACTTTCTTGGTTTATGGAAAAAATTACTAATCACACATTGCTGTTGCCCTCCTTACACAAAAATTCCATTTACATGCAACAATGGCAACAATAACAACACCACTAATGACAATTACACTATTATTGATCAGCAAGCAGGCAGAGTATGCTGCTCCTCCGTCAATTACACATGCACACACACACACACAGCGGCACTCATTCACACATTAGGACGACAATACTCAGGAGATGTAAATATATATTTTTTTCTGTTTGTTGCACACATGTACACACGTTATGAACCAGAGGATACAATGTTGTTTTTGCCTTTGGCCTATTGTTCCTCAATGAAATGTGCGATATTAGGAATGAATTCTTGCAAAAAATAATCAATGCAAATTTTCTCACAATAGCAAGCACTTGGTGTAAACAACAAATGTAAATTATTAGTTTCTCATGCTCTTTACTACTTCACATATGACGAACAACGGTGCTGATGATGGTGACGACGATGATTAATGAAATCGCGGGTTCGTCGTATTGGCAAATCGTTGGGTAAAAGTAGAAATTTTTGTCTTTATTGTAACCATCTTACAAATTCCCGCCATTAGTTTTATTGTTAACAACAAATACATATGAACAATATTTTTGTGTTTTTTTCTTTTTTGTTTCTTTTTAGTTTACTCTCTTTTGGATTTGTTGTTTTCACTTTGTGCAGCGCCACAAATAACAACAAAAACAACATGGACAACGTCACACCAAACGCATACATTCATATATTTAGTAGTAGTAATGACGAATTCGAACGATGCTGATGATAAATTAAATGATTTTATACATTTGCATTCATTGGAGGGCAGTATTGTTTCTGTTTGTTACTACAACTGTTTCTTGCCTTTTTATTTTCTTGTTATTTTTTTTTTTGCTTGTCTTCCTCTTGGCCAGACTCAATTCAATCACTCACATTGCAAGTGCTACCAACCAGCCGCCGCCAGTTAGCCACCTCTCTTCCGATGATTTTTCCTTCCTTACACACTCACTTCACTTCCATATACAACAACAACACACATTCGAGGAGACGACTGGCAGCAAAGCCGATAGTTAACAACATCATCGCACACACACGCTCGCACTCATCATCATCATACACCAAAACACTCACTCGTTCCGTTCCTCTTTCTGCGGCTGCTGACCGACAGACCGACCAACCGAACCGACCATTCATACCATTTCTGTGTGTTATTTTCTTTTTTATTTTTTGTCAATTCTTTTTGCTGAAGACACGAAAAAAAACATTTATGCCGCTGCGTATTTCTTTAACGTTAACTTATTGTATTCTTTACCATATTTTTTCATAATTTGTATATTCTTTTCGCCAGTTGTGTGTATTGCAATCTTTTTTTCTCTGTAATTACTTGAGATTTGATTTTTTTTCCTTTTTTTGTGTGGTCTTTATTCTTTTTATTATCGACGTTTCTTTACATTTTTTCTTTCTTTCTACCCAAAAAAAAATTTACCACGAAAAGACAAGAAAAACTTTTGCCGCCGTAATTTTTATGTTTTTTAGTGAATACCCTCGAACATCCATGTATTTCATCGATAGGGCATTGAGAGAAATTGTTATTCTTTCGATTTTTACACGAAATTTTTATTAATTTTCACTTTAAAAACACTTTTTTCTTGTTTAATATTTACAAGACGTCTTTGCAGTCGTCGCCATTATTAATTTTTGACTCCATTTTGATTTCGCCGCAAAATCAATTCGCCAAAATTCAGAGTTGTATTTGAAGAAATGGCTATTGTGAATGGAAAAATGAGAAGAGAATGAGGGAATGTGTGAAAATGTTAGTAAATAGCATAAAAGTTGGAATTCAAGCGGGTTGTTAGGAGGGGGATTTCAAAAGGTCAAATATATTGGAAAGGGGGGAATCCAGATCAAATAGCGGTATAAATACAAGGAATCCAATTCCGTTCGACTTCCATAGGGCTTAAATATGCGAACTGTCAAAATAGTTGTGAGCTTGTTGTCATAAAACACATACTTTAGATAGCAAATTCTTTCTATTTTGCGTCAAAAAAATGACAAAACTTCATAAAACTCGTAATTTTGCACCCGGTGTAAGTCAGGCTTTAGAAAGAAAAAATGTGACAATATCCTTAAAAATCAATCTCAGTAACTCAGGACATGACATTTACCTTTCGTTTTAAAAAGGCAGGTCAGTTAAGAACATGTTTCATTTGTCAAAATAACACATTTTTTTCTCTGTGGCAGAGGAGCCCGAAAATTGAAAGAATAATAGTAAAATTAAAAAAAAAATTGAATTATTTTTTCCCACATTTGCTTTGAAAATAAAATATTTTTTTTGTGTGGTATAAAGCCAGAATATGCTACTACTTTGTATGAAAATGACTTAACTATTTATAAGGAACACCATTCGACTCCATTATTGGTTATTTTCTTCTTAATTTGTGCACAACTTTTACTAGATAAAAGGCCAAAAGAAAGGTTTTCCAGTTTGCAGAATGGAGCTAAGATTTTGCGGAGTAGTCTCTTTGCGATTTTATTGAAGTTGGCTCTAGGGATTCAAATTGCGCTTATGAAATAAATTAATAAAATATCTCTTTAAATAAACTAGCTATTGCTCTGAGTCCGAACCTGCAAGAACCTACTAACTTTGCACTTTTTTCGATATCGTAAAAGGAAAATCGGTTTTTACATGCTTGCAATTCTGGCACAAATGAAGCTAAATTTTGCATCAAAATAGCAGATTTGGCACGAGGCTTAATTTCCTTCGGCGCTTAACATTTATTTCTTTCATGAATTACATACTTTTTTCAAAATAACGAATTTAAATTAGTAAATATTTATTATTCATGTTTAATAGTGTGTACCATACTTAATACTATGTGATGAGGCGATTTTCTTGTTTAGTGTAACCAATGAGTGTTTTTTTTATTTATTTGTATGTGTTTTTAATTGCCACAAAACAGTGTACTTTATAGGTCAAAACTAAGCAGTCCGTGTCACCAACACCGTTAAGATTTTTTGAATTTTGCAGATATTTTGGTCGTTTAAATCTTATTCTAAATTCTTAAAATAAACTATAATTAATGTTCCAAAAATTCGCAGACAAAATATGAACAGTTTTTATAACAACATATAAAACACGTTAAAAGAGATATTTATGTATTTATTTCTTCCGGTTTAAATAATGCAATTTTGAGATATTGTTCCAAAGATGTATGCCAAAATTGAACAGAAACTAGAAAAATGTCAGAAATTTAATTTATTTAAATTTCATTTTTCTGGTTTAGTGTGCCCTACTACACATGTCAATACGGTGGCAACACCTCCCTAATATCAAAGCCGTTAAACAATTGTGTTACCGTCACGCGCCATTTTCTGACAGTTACTTCGCGTCTTTACAAATAATAAAAGCTTGGGTCGTTTTTATAATCCTTGCTAGAAAGAAATATAAATTAAAGAAAAAATAATAATTGTTAGTTATTAAAAAAATATATGTATATATAAATCATTGTGAAATATATAGCTTCCAAGGCTCATTAAATTATCGTTATAAGTGAAATAAAGCTATGGAATCGAGTGAGTGCGTGCGTGTAATTGTTAATCTCAGTGAAAATGGCATTAGCTTTGTGGTTTAAAAATCGAATTGTTTAATGTTAATAGAAAATAAGAAACTCGAGGTGTACAATGTGATTTTTATGGTATTTATGGTTTAAATATTTTATGATAAAACATCGTATACTTACCTATTTTTTTCTTTTTGTAGAAGTCACGTAGTAGCGGCTTAAAAGGTAAGAATGGCCAGAAATTGATGAAAGTAAATTTCTACATTCCTCCAGCGTACTCTGGAAGGGATTTAAAATGACTCCAGACTTTTTAAAGCCCTTTGAAAGATCTGCCGTCAGTGGAGGTTTTAAAATCTTTCCTGCCAACGGAAATCCTTACGAAGCGTTTTTGTTCCTAGTGGGTGTTTAAAAGATCTCCTGGTTATGGAGATCCTTAAAAAGACTACTGTTTACAGAAACATTTTCAAATAATTCATATTCGAAGGTTTCTAAGCGTTTTTGTCAATGAAAGAACTTTACAGGGTCTGCTGTCTGTTAAAGACCTTTAGAAATGCTCCTCTTTATAGAACAACTACAAAATATTCTTTTATTGGTCTTTTGTATTTATAAAAAAACTTTACGGTCTGTTTCTGTATGCCGATATAAATGTGAATGCGAAAGAAACAGGCTCATAATAAGTTTTCTGTCTATGGAGAACCTTTCGAAAATTCATCTCACTGATGAATATACCTTTAATTCTGTCTTTGAAAGACCCATAAAATGCCTAATGTACTCTGTATGTGGACGATCTTTTAAATCTCTTGTTACCCTGTCTATAGAAGTTATTTGGAAGGTCGTATATGTATGAAAGAATAGTTTTACGAAACATTAAACGATTTTCAACCAAAAAAAAAAAAAAAAACAACTTTAAAATTTCTTGTCTACAGAGTGCCATCAAAACATCTTGTCTATAGAACCTTTTAAGGACATTCTGTCTGTCTATATCAGAGCTTTAGACCAGTCCATCTGGTAAAAGGTCTTCTGTCTGCTGACGACCTTTAAACTTTTATTGAAGACCTTCAAAGGCAAATTTACTCTTTCTATAGAAGATATATAAAATATCGTCTAGGCGTAGAATAATAAAATAAATTCCGTCTATACAAACCACACAAAGATTTTCTACAGAAGGACATTCTCTCTGTGGAAATATTGTTCATAGAAGATCATGGATATAAATACTTTAAAAGGTCTTTTGGTTAAAGACGTTTCAAATGAGTTCTGTCTATAGATGACATTTAATAGCCACCTATATTTGAAAGACTCTTAATAGGATATCTTAAAATGTTTTCTGTTTACACATCTTTAAAAGTTTTTATGCCTACATGAGTTCTAGGAGACCCAAAAATTTTCTTCCTTTGTGTCGTTCGTTTTTATTAAAACTCATCGCCGATCTACTTTGTATTCCATATTTATTGTATTGTATATTTTATATCAATCAAAATCTAAAACTATTGTGTGAGGTCTTAAATAAGAGTCTTCATTTTTATTTTAGTAATTATTTCATATAAATAATGCATGTATATATAATTTTCCATGATATTACTACAAATATATCGGCTTCAGTCGAACAAATGCAATGTGGCAAAGTTGATGACTTTAAGTCAACGTTTTTCGAAGAAAAAAAATTGTGTACATCCAAAATTGTATCCCAGTATGTGTTCACTTTTTATTCCTCGGCATCGGCAAATTGATCAACAGATAAATTGTTGATTCCTGCGCAGGCAGTTTCGACACCTCCATTGTCACCATTGCCAGTTGATTGCGTATAATCACCGGCATCATCAAATTCGCCCTCACCATCATCCTCCTCGTCGTACTCCATGTCGCTGTCACCCGATATGCTATCATCGGAGTCGGGATGTAAGGCTTGACATTCAGTCATGGCCTTGAGGGGGAGCAAGGAGTTTATATCAAAATGTGTTTATTAATTTATTTCAAAGACTTACTTGATACATGGTATCCACAATGTTAACATCATCGGGTATAAGCCAACATTCCGTTAGCTGGTCCTCCTCAGCATCTTCAAACACTTCCTCCTCCTCCTCTTCATCGTCGTTTTCTGCATCATCATTGTTTCCATTGCCATCGCCATTTGTTTCGCATTTAATAGCCTGACCATTGCCATTGGTTACCCCACCATCAGTTTTGCCCGGCCAGGAAATGTGACGATCCAACACAAAACAAATGCACTTTGATGGGGCACTAGCAGTACCGTGTACCCCAATACGTTTCCATGATATTGATATGCCATCGGGTTCATTGGCCGGTTTCCACATAAGGGAACTGCAATAGTCGTTGTTTTTGTTTCAAGCAAAAAAAAAGAACACACATTTGGCGATCATTGACATCTTACCTATGGCTGATGTAGACATTTCCCTTGCCAACCGTTGTGTTCTGCTCAATTCGCAGTGTCACATTGTCTGAGGTGAAGACCACTCCTTCGGTAGGTGGAGCCACTTGACCAATAATTACCATGTTCGTGTCCTGTGTCCCTTTATTCTTTGTTCACGTGCAAAAATGCAAAAAATGCCGATAGCCGATGTAAACAATGCTCTGTTTCTTGCCAAAAATGAAACCCAATGCCGTTTTGTATTGTTTGAAGACGGCGTAAAAAATGCCGTTGCCGGCAACGCACAGTGTCAGTTGTGAAATGTGGCAACATCTCAATGTAACAGACCATTGTATTAAATAAAGCGGGAAAAATAAATTAACAATTGTAGCTAAATTCGAAATATTTGGTATTAGGACGTTAATAATAATTACAACTGTGTGATAATTGAAATAAAAAGTAATTTATCTTTATGGATAATCAATTGCTTGCCTAAATGAATTCTAAGAATGTGTTCCAATGAAATTGTGGTGACAAAGAAATATTCCCCAAGGTTGCTGTTGCCTATCCGATGTTCTTTAATCTAAATGATTGATTTCGAAAATGGGAAAACGAATATTTCAATATGAGATGAGTTTATGATTATGGTTGTTGAAATCGCAAGCGACCTTCAATAAAGGAGGTGTGGAATTCTGAAGTTATAATCCTTTGCTGTGGATCCCGGCCATAGTGGAATACAATTAGGCTAACAAATTGATCTGCTTGGCGACGAATTTACTGGCTGTTGAGTTGCTGTCCCTTTACATCATTATCTTATCCCAGTTGAAGCATACAAGTAAATCACAGCGCTCAAAACCAATGTTTTATCAAATTATTCTATGTTCTGCGAATACAAAACCTTTGATTAGACTTCGATCATACCTGTATTGATCATATCTTACAAAATTAGAGTCTGTGACAGCAACCTAGAAAAAATGTCAATTTCTGTCTAAGTATGTATAACATGTCTCCCTGCTTCCAATCTTCAGAAATCAACCACCTTAGGCAGTCCTGTAGGCTGGCTGAGAAGTTCCTCCTTAATTTGTATACCCCCCCGCCATACTTTGGAGAGTATATTAACTTTATCATTCCGTTTGTAACTCCTCAAAATACTCACGTCAGGCCCAACAAAGTATATATATATTCTTGATCAGGGTAAAATTTTAAGTCGATTTAGCAATGTCCGACTGTCTGTTGTAATCGCGCTATTTTTCGAACTAACTAAGATAGAAGGCTACAATTTTGCACACATGTGTATTTTGTCAGTAGGCAGGTTATGTTCGTAAATGGGTCATGTGGGTCAACGTTTTCATATAGCCTCCACAAAACGGTTCCTCCCAATATTCGGTATTTTGATGATTTTAGCGACATTCTTTACCGGAATTATTTCGTATTTGGTGTTCGTAATGGGTACTGCAGCCTATGAGAAAAAAATCGCGTATCCTGGTCCACGTCTTCGTATAGCCCCCATATAACGTTACCTCCAAATATTCGGTATTGTGATGATTTTAGCGACACTTTTTACCGGAATCGTTTCAAATTTCGTATTTGAAGTTCGTAATGGGTACTGCAGCCTATGACAAAAAATTACATATAGGCCCCATATATCGGTACCTTCCTTTATTCGGTATTTTGATGATATAAGCGACATAATTCACCTGATTTGTTTCAAATTTCGTATTTGAAGTTCGGAACCGGTACTGTAGCCAGTATTCGTATATCCCCATTTAACTGTTTTCATTTAGCGGGAATTTTTCGACGATTTTTTTTTTGTAAATTTAAGTCCTTTCCAAATTGTGGAGGGTATTAAGAATTCGGGCCAGCCGAATTTATGTGATTTTTTTACTTGCTGATTTTAACTGGGGACTAGGTCCAGCTGTTCTTTAGATAGTATCATACGAAATCCTGTGACATCACCAACTTCTTCTAAGCCGATATTTACGATTAGTCTTTTCAATATTCAATTGAAAGTTATTGATGTTTGCCTCAAGCTTTCTAATCAGTGCTGGTTTTGTCTCAATGGTTCTCTTTTTCATTAAAATTTCTGATTGAGTTTTTTCCCAGAGTGGATATTTGGAAAATTTGTGGCATTAATCAAAGCACTCTCGACTTTTCTTCATGTGTTCTCGGTTGGAGGCATTTTCGAAATCCCATAAAAATAAGGAAATTTCATAAACTCCCCGATTTTTCTTGGATATATTCGAATATTTTTGCTCCCGTCAGAACTTTTCTTTTAATATTGCTTTCTTATACTTTCCAACAGGCCCTCGAATATGTTTTATTTTAATTAAGACAACTATTAAATCAAGAAAAGATTGGCCATTTCTTGCACACCTTTACCCATTATCGTTCCAACTAACACTTCCTATCTTATCACCTGGCGTTTGATGTGCTATATCTTTTCTTTTGCGCTTCATTTGTAAATGCCCCCGCAATGGATTTTCGAACATTACTGATTTTCCTTCTTTTGTATAAAAATTGTCTTGTGGTCAATAAAATAGTTTAGTATCGAATCGAGTTCTCAGAAGGTGATATGGGGAAAAGCGTAGTAATATGGTTGTGCCTAATTGGCAGCGTTTTAGCTGCTCCACCAAAAGCGGAACCTGTTCCCCTGATGGAGGCAAAGGTTGGAGATAGCGATATATTTGGTGGTCGCATTACCAATGGCCAGCAAGCCGTTGCCGATCAATTCCCCTGGCAAGTTGGACTATCGTTGCAAAAGAGTCTACTCTCATCGTCGTGGTGTGGTGGTTCTTTGATTGGTGCAAATTGGGTGCTAACCGCTGCCCATTGTACCAATGGAGCCATGCGTGTTACAGTCTATTTGGGCAGCACGGTTCGTACCAGTCCCAAGGTCAGTCATACCGTTGATGCAAGCGAAATTTTTCAACACACCGGTTACAATGCCCAGTACTTGTCGAATGATATTTCCCTGATAAGAATACCCACTGTGGCGTACAGTAGTTCGATACAACCGGTACGTATGCCCGCTATATCGTCATCGTATTCTACCTATGCTGGTGACTATGCCATTGCTTCCGGCTGGGGTCGTACTTCGGATGGTAAGGAGAGAGCAAATAGTGTGTCAAAGCGAATTTTAATAAATTTCCCATTTCTTAGATTCTACCGTCTCTACCGATTTGAATTATGTTCGCCTGCAAGTCATGTCCAACATTCTCTGTGCCGCCACCTATGGCAGCACCGTGGTCACTTCCAACACTATTTGCGTGTCAACTCCGGGCGGTACCTCTACATGCAAAGGTGATTCGGGTGGACCTCTAGTTTTGGAATCCAATAATGTCTTGATCGGTGTAACATCATTTGTTGCTTCGGCCGGCTGTACAGCTGGTTATCCTTCTGGTTTTGTACGTGTTACCAGCTATTTGGAATGGATTAAGGCTAGAACTGGCATTTCATATTGAATTTAAAAACAATTTTTGTGAAAAAAGAATTGAATGATTAATTTTGTAAGAGAAAAATTAAAATAAGACAAATTTTGGAAATATATTTTCAAACATTCGAAAATGATTAAAATCTGCTGAAATAAGGAAATTGCTAGCCATTTGAGGAGCAAAAGACCAGCTCTTCTGTGAGATTGTAAAAAAGCAATTAAAAAACTTTCCTTTATAAAAATTAATTCATGTCCTGCGAATATCACATTTATCACGAATATCTTCACATTACGATAAGTTCTGGTACAGATCCACGATATGCAAAAAAACCTACCTATTTTTGATTGTAAGGAAGCTTTTGACAGTCCTCTACGGTCTTAGGTATTTCAAGCATGTCTGAACTTGCTTTCGCCGCAAAGCTCATGCGTCTTTGCATGATAATATTATCTGACACGTGGTCCTCAATAAAAATAGGGTAGAATCTCCTCGAATAGCTCAGTGCCAAACGAGGATTAGGGCAGTGAGATAGCCTTTCGTGTGATCTGTTGGAGAAGTACTTGCGAGTTGCAGAAGGGATTAGAACATTCATTCCGTTTGTAATTCTTCGAAATAATAATTTTCGACATAACAAAGTATATATATTCTTGATCAGCGTAAAATTCTAAGACGATTTAGCTCTGTCCGTCCGTCCGTCTGTTGTAATCACGCTAGAGCCTAAACGAATAAGGATAGGGAGCTAAAATTTTGCACACATTTGTATTTTGTCTGCAGGCATGTCAAGTTCGAAGATGGGCTATATCGGTCCACAATATCGTATAGACCCCATACAACGGTACCCCCGATATTCGGCATTTTAAAGTTTTTAGCCACATTTTTCAATGGTATTGTCCGAAAATTAACACAGGGACTTCCTTTTGTGTACTTTACCCCCTGGAAGTTTATTTTTTATATAGGTCCACGATATCGTATATCTCTTGTAACGGTACCCCCCGATATTCGAAATTTTGGCTATTTTAAGGATATTATTCACCGGAGTTGTTTTAAATTTCTTATTTGCACTTCGTAATGAGTGCTACTGTCTATGACCGAAAATTGTTTCTGCACGGCCAGGTCTTCCCATAGCCTCCATATATCGGTAACTCCCTATATATGCGGTATTTTCACGATTATAGGTACAATATCTTCCGAAATTGTTTGAGTTGTGGTATTTGAAGTTCCTTATAGGCACTACAGCCTGTGACACAAAATTGTCTATGCAGGTCCAGGTCTTCGTAGAGCTCCGATATAACTAGAATATATTCCCTATATTCGGTATTTTGATGATTTTAGCTACATTATTCACCGGATTTTTTTTTCGTTTCGTATTAGAATATTGTAATGGCTTATGACAACAGTTAACGATGTAGGCCCACGTCTTCTTACATACTATATTCGATATTTTTAAGATTTTAACAGAATTTTTAGCGAGTTTTATATTTTGGAAAATTTCCAAATTCGTTCCAAATGGTGGAGGGTATTCAAAGTTCGCCCAGGTCGTACTTACTGCTTTTTTACTTGTTAATATTACCTTCCTACACTTCCCAGCAGCCCTCGAACGAGTTCTATTTTAATTAAGACAACTATTCAATTAAATCAAAATACTTGACAATTTTTTTCACATTATCGTTTTGACTACCATCTCCTATCTTATCATCCGTGATTTGAGGTGCAATATCAAATATTCTTTCTTCGATTCTTCGCAATGGATTATCGAACATTGCTATTTTTTCCCCTTCTTATTTTTATGTATAAAAATTGTCTTTTCGTCAATAACGATTTTAGTATCAAACCGATTTCCTAGAAGTTGATATGAAAAAATCCGCAGTAATATTATTTTGCCTAATTGGCAGCGCTTTGGCTGCACCACCCAAAGTGGAACCCGTTCCCCTGATGGATGCCACGGCCGGTGACAATGATATATTGGGTGGACGCATTACCAATGGCCAGCAAGCCGTTGCCGATCAATTCCCCTGGCAAGTGGGACTATCGTTGCAAAAGAGCCTCCTCACATCGTCATGGTGTGGTGGTTCTTTGATTGGCACAAATTGGGTCCTAACCGCTGCCCATTGTACCAGTGGAGCGACGCGTGTTACAGTCTATTTGGGAAGTACTCTTCGAACCAGTCCCAAAGTCAGCTTTTTGGTTGATGGTGGGGAAATCTATCAACATCTCAATTTCAATGCCCAGTCCTTGTCGAATGATATATCCCTGATAAGAATTCCCCCAGTGTCGTACAGTAGTTCCATAAAACCCGTAAGATTGCCCTCTATTTCGTCATTTTATTCTACCTATGTTGGGGAATACGCCATTGCTTCCGGTTGGGGTCGTACTTCGGATGGTATGTAGAGCGAATAGTTTGTGAAATTGCATTTAAAAAACTCCCCTTCCCTCCTTTCTCTAGATTCTACTGTTTCTCCAAATTTGAATTATGCCCGCCTGCCAATCATATCCAACAGCCAGTGTGCCTCTGTCTATGGCAGTACGGTAGTCACATCTAATAGCATTTGTGTGTCAACCCCCGGTGGTGCCTCCACATGCAATGGTGACTCTGGTGGCCCCTTGGTTTTGGAATCTAATAATGTCTTGGTCGGCATATCATCATTTGTTGCTTCCCTCGGCTGTACAGCTGGTTATCCTGCTGGCTTTGTACGTGTAACAAGCTATTTGGAATGGATTTACACCTTAACTGGCATTTATTATTTTTAAAAAATTTTAAAAGTTCCCAAAAAGTGTTGAGTGTATGAAGTTTTTGGAACTGAATATCAAAAAAAAGAGTAATTTTTGAAATTATGCAGGTGTTTTTTTTTTGTTGTGTTCCATATCCGGAGGTCACAAGGTTTATTGTTCTATATGTGAGGGCTTGGTCCATCCAAGTATTCTAAATGTGATTTGACCCCGTATTGTTCGGTTTTGAAGTGAGATGTATAGCTATTCAGTATTAACTTAAGCACGGGCAGCAGATGTCGGTTAAATGAAAAAATAGGCGATACAATGCCCTACTTAGCATACCCTTTGTTGATAAGTGGGGAGCCAGGTGGACGAAGAGTTATAATGGCTGAATGATGTACGTATTAACTCGCGATCCAACGCACTAGAAACATGATGAGTCATGACTGCTACTAATACATTTTGTCATAAGATAAGTCTTTCCCAGACAGATTAATGTGGCTGTCGACGGAGTTCTGGAAGCTTATCTTTACGAAAAAACCTTCTATGAGATTTGACCTTAGCAAGAGTTCTTAATGTATCAGTCCTAGCTTTATGGTTATAATTTTGATGTCATTAATCGGCCTCTCTCCTCACTCGTATTTATAGTTACTGTCTCATTTGTTGTTTACATGCATTCGTTTTTGTGTGTATGTGCTTTGGCAAATGGATTTCCATTTTGCTTTAATATTGTGGAATATAATTTCCGAAACTTCGATTTATAGGTGAGGATATATAAATACGAGTGAGTAGGAGCGAGTCAGTTCCGTATTGTAGATTTTTTTGGAATAACATAGAATATAATTCCCGAAACTTCGATTTATAGGTGAGGATATATAAATACGAGTGAGTGGGAGCGAATCAGTTCGGTATTGTCTTTGATTAGTATTTAGATTATATAAAGCTCTATGTATAAACTTAGGTGTGAGTAGCAGATGTCGGGTATATGGAAAAGTTGGCGGTGCATCAGGAATGCTTTGTTGACATGTGGAGAGCTAGATGGACGAAGAGTTGCAATGCCAGAGTGAAAATTTATTCGTGTCCCTAAGCACTAGAAACCTAATAAAGCATGACCCCTACAAATACATTTTTACATAAGAAATATCTTTCCCAGAAGTAGTACTGGCTGGCGGAGTACCGGAAGCTAATCTTTTCGAAATAAAACTTCTATGATGGCATTAGAGATTTGGCCGTTTGGCAAAAGTTCTTCCTATATCTGTATTAGTTTTATAATTTTTATTGCGAATTTATTAATTAATTTTTCTCTTACTCACTCGTATTTATAATTATTATCCCATTTTTTGTTTACATGGATTCGTTTTTTTGTGTATGTGCTTCGACGAATGAACATTGTTGCCATGTTGCTGCAATACTCTGGAATATAATTCCCGAAACTGGCATGTATAGATGAGGAACTATAAATACGAGTGAGTTGCAGCGAGTAGGCTGATTCAGTATTAAATTGCGATTTATAAACGTCGATTAATAAATCGACGCAATTCGATTTGCAATGATCTTTCCAACTATAACGTATTCCCGAATTAAGACCTCGTAATCTAGGTTAGAGGGTGCTTGCTTGCTTCTTTGACAACTCTACTCCACTCGGAGACCTTTCGGTCCATTTTGTTTCCCTCTGAGAGGATAAAAAAAAAACAAGTCAAAAAAAGCTGTAAGTTAGGCCGGGCCAAACTTTGAATACCCTCCACCATTTGGAACGAATTTGGCAATTTTCAAAAAATAAAGTCCATCAAAATCTTAAAAATATCGAATAACGCCGTTATATTAGGGTCTACGAAAAGTTAAAAAATTCCGGTACATAATGTGGCTAAAATCATCAAAATACCGAATATAGGGAGGTACCGTTATATCGGAACTATACGAAGACCTGGACCTACATAAACAATTTTCTGTCACAGGCTGTAGTATCTATTAGGAACTTCAAATACGACATCTTAAACAATTTCGGTGAATATTGTACCTATAATCGTCAAAATACCGAATATAGAGAGCTATCGTTATATCGGGGCCTATACGAAGCCTTGGAGCTGCATAGACAATTTTCTGTCACAGACCGTAGTTCCTATTGCGAACTCCAAATACGTAATTTGAAACAACTCCGATGAATAACGTCGCTAAAATCATCAAAGTACCGAATATTGGGAGGTACCGTAATATGGAGGCTATACGAAGACGCGGGCTGCATACGCAATTTTTTGTCATAGGCTGTAGTACCCATTACGAATTCTAAATACGTAATTTGAAACAACTCCGGTGAGTAATGCACCTAAAATCGTCAAAATATTGGATATCAGGGGGTACCGCTGTATGGGGCTATACGATGTCGTGGACTTATAATTCTCTCCCAGAGGGTTATGTACTCAAAAGGAACTCCTTGTGTTAATTTTCGGACAATTCCATTAACAATTGTGACTAAAATCTTAAAAATACCGAATATCAGGCGCTACCGCCGTATTGGGGCTATTACGATATCGTAGACCTATATAGACATTTTTCTTTCAGGTGGTAAAGTAGTCACGAAGAACTCCTTGCGTAGAATTTCAGACAATTCCATTGAAAAATGTGGCAAAAACCATCAAAATACCGAATATCGAGAGGTACATTTATATGGGGGCTATACGATATCGTGGACCTATATAGACAGTACTCTTTCAGGGGGTAAAGTACTCGGAAGGAACTTCTTTTGTGGATTTTTAGACAGTTCCATTGAAAAATTTGGTTACAATCATCAAAATACCGAAAATCGGGGGTTACTGTTATATGGGGGCAATACGATATCGTGAACCGATATAGCCCATCTTTGAACTTGTCGTGCCTGCTGACAAAGGACTGATTTTTGCAAAATTTTAGCTTCCTATCTTTATTCGTTAGAATCTAGCGGGATTACAACAGACGGAGACAGGGCTAAATCCTCTTAGAATTTTACGCTGATCAAGAATATATTTTTGTCTAATTTTAAAATATATTTTGTCTAATTTTTGTTATGTCTAAAATTATTATTTCGATGAGTTACAAATCGAATGGCGAGCTAAATATACCCTCCATACAATGTATGGTGGAGGGTATAACAAGTATCAGTGTGTTGCAAGTGAATTGTAGCCTTTGAAGTGTCCGTTACTCTTGAGTCCCACCCCCTAAAATGTCCCGACTACTTCCCATACTTTATATGAGAGATGTGCACATTTTTAGAAAATGTGAAAATATGCGTGAGTTAATATATATAGCGAACCGAAGTATTCCATTTTCATATTTCATCTAAAACAGATAAAAATATTGGTATATGCAAAATTTGAATGAAATCAAACATTTATATTCACTTTTATGCGAAATCATAAATTCCGATAAATTACATTTTCATATCAGATTTCTAGTCAAGATAAATATTTAGATATATCAAGTTGTAAAGAATCGCCGATTTGTTTTGCAAGTTATGATAGATATAAATATTGGAAATTGTGGGTGAGATACCAGAAGGGGTTGGCAGATGTATATCATCTTCCAAACAAATCTTGTGTTTACAATATCGTTTGTATGTGAGATATTTTTGAGGAGATGGATGGATGCTTCGAATGCTTATTTCACTTTGGGGGAGGTACCACAAGATATACCACAAGAAATCTTTATAACAGATCTTATGTTGACGGAAATATTGAGATGAATAAAGTTTCAATGGAATCGGACGTTATTTTCGCCTTTTATGGGCTTCATGGACACTATATATCCCATCTTTACACCAGACATTGGGCTAAAAAAATATTGTGGCGTGTGTAATTTGAAGGCAATCGGATACTTATATCACATTTTATAAGAGTTATAATTATTCAAAATTTTTACTCTTTGTGAGGGAGGTACTTGATGGAGTGGACCGATATTGTCCATTGTAGCACCTGATCTAGCACTGATGCAAATATTAGGATATGCAAAGTTGGAGAAAAATTGGATAGTCGTTTCTCTTTCTGTGCAGTAAATTATTATCTTTGAAAAATTCGATTTTTTGTGGGGTAGGTACCAGAAGGAGTGGACCGATATTGCCCATCTCCGAACTCGATCTAAGTTTGGCAATAATATAACGATGTACCAAATTTGAATCAAATCGGATTCTCCCTTTGAGAGTCATCGTGCGCACCAGCCAGCCAGACAGTAGGAAGGACGGCCGGGCATCGCTAGATCGACTCCAAATATCCTGAAACGGATTTGGTCCAAAGAGAGAGGGTCTAAAACCGTTATTTCGATGGGGCACGTTTTGACTGTATCAAATGATACCCTCTTTAGCCATATGACTGAGGGTATATAAAGTGTCAGTGTGGTGCAAGCGAATAATTCCCTAATTTTGTAGAGTTGTGTCAATCTAGTTCATATTTCAGTACACCAGATCCTAAACGTATGAGTGATTTAATAAATTTTATATCACTCATACGCAGAATTTTTTGCATAAACGATCGGAGTCTAAGTATATTCGGTATTTTCACGATTTAAAGCACATTTTCAAACAAATTTGTCTAAAAATTGGTATTTGTAGTTTCTAATAGATCTAGCACTGAGGGCTATACATGTTCAGGTTTTTCTATAACCCCCATATAATTACCCACCGATATTCCGTATTTTTACGATTTTTGCCGCATTTTCTATCGGATTTATTTCAAAATGGGTTCTAAAACCGGTGTTAAAATAATGTCCATAGAGATTTCATAAATTTCGTATCACTCATGCGGAGTTTTTATACAAACGGTCGGAGTCCAAGGAACTACATAAGGAAATAGTACCTTCAATCGAAGTAGACCGAAACAACTTTATCCCTTACTCACGAAGAAAACAAAACTTAAAATCGATTTTTAATTAACCCTTAAAGTCCCTGCAACTTTTAGATTTTTGGCAATTAAATCGTTAAGGACCCAGATTAAAGTATACGTAACCTATGGATCCCTGTCTTCTTCCCCTTCATGTATGTTCACGGATAAGTGAACATGTTTTTATAATAAAAGAGAATAGCGGGGCTACCTAGTGTTGATGAGAGGGATTTGTTAAACTGGG